AAAATTGTTATCTCATCAAAAACAGTCTTGGCGTTGATTTATTTTTTGCTTCATCTCTATAAGTAAATAATGTTTATTTATATGGCACATTTTACAGACCATGGCCACCCAAAGCACTTTACAATGTTCAGAGTTCAGATATAGACGCCGAACACACTGGTTCAACAAATCTCCCAAACAACATCATCCATTCACTCACTCATTACATTAATACACATTTTTACATGTTTTTAAACCTACGCAGGCACGGGGAGAACATGCAAAATCCACACAGAAAGGTCTGGAGGTGCAATCGAATCCAGGACCTTCTGTGAAACACAAGCTCTAACCGCTGTCCACCGTGGCGCTCTGAAGAGGAGCCAGTCACGACAGGACGGCGTGTTTACTGGGAACTCAAACCAGTATCAGGTCTGTTACTGGGTACAGCCATAACTGGTTTGAAAACCATGGCACAGTTAGCACATCTCAGGTTGACCTGAGACACCTTCTGTGTGGATTTTGGATGTTCTCCCTACGTCTGCTTAGGTTTCCTCCAGATGCTCTGGTTTCCCCTACCACTAAAAAAGAGTACAATAGGTCAAATCCTCCACCTTCAGTCCTATAGCATCAACCTCTGAAGGTGGGTCAAAGGGGACAATAAATTAAACCTAATACCTTACATATTAGTTTGCCCTTTACCTTTCCCCACGTCATGTGATTCAGCCCATAAAACTGTAAAGGTTTCTACTTATTTCTATAAATACTATGTTTTCCATCCCTCCAAGACAATACTCTAATAGCAAATCTGTGAGAATTAAGTTGTCTTTGTTTGATTGCAATCAGGCATTTTTGGCACAGACTCACCTCACCTGCTACTTAAGTGGCTTTTACATTCAACAAAGCCTTTGTGCCACTAATAATACAGGAAGACAACACAACCAAGGACTTTGCGTTTGCTTTTGGCCCTTGGTGCAACCAAGTCATTCAAGTAAAATATAAATTTCAGAGAAAAAAAGAATCCTGTTTTCAAAAATCAATCCTGGAGCAACCGGGACCCTGTCCAACGTTCTCGCGGTCGCTGCGTGGCCCTGCGTCCAGGTTCTGTAAGCTTAGGTCCTGGATTCTATAGCCCCTCTCTCAATATGTTGGGTCCTCCCAGAGGTTTCAACACTTTTTTTCCCACTGGTTTTTTTTCTTGCTGATGCAAAAAAAAAAGAGGGAGTCTGTTGGACAGTGAGTGTCCTAACAAGAAGGACTGTGGGTGATGATCCAGGACACTTTTAACATTCTACAAA